GCTGTTGCCCATGAAGGGTAGCGAACATCCAGCCCGACAGCAAAGACGAAGAAGCGAACTTTAAGACGTCAGTCAACCATTGAGTCTCCAGCACCTTGCCGTGTTTAGGGACCCTTAACCTCCCCTAAACCCTAAACCCTAAACCCTAAACCCTCCATCGTAGACCCTGAACACTACGGCCGTCTTTGCCCTAAGCTACTCCAAGCTCTGTAATTACTCTGAAGCTCAAAGCCAAACTCAAAAAGACGCCAACCTTACAGTGAGCCCACGAGACACTGTATGAGCATGCAAAACCGCAGGCCACGCCGACATATGCAATCCTTGCAAGCCCGGTGCTGGATGTCGCGATCCGCCTCCGGTCCGCCACCGTTGCAGAGTGCTTGCGGATTGCGCGCCACCCCAGACCTGACTCCGGACGGGGCAGGGATTAGTCTGTAGAACGCAAAGTCCAGGACCCTTATTCCGCGGGTTTCTGACCTTAGCGTAGCTTGGAGCTTTGTGGGATTTTGTACTTCAGTGCCTTGATTGGATGTATAAGGGGTTTCTTAACAGCTAGAGGTGCCATGAGGGCCATGTAACTAAAATCCTACCAGGCTCGGTCCATGTTAGGCTGCACAGTTTTCGGAAAGCCCCAATAAGACCACTGTTCACCGATACATCCCGGCGACGCGGCGAAATGAGGGGCTCCTGCATATTGAGGCTACCTTACTTAGAAGCTTACTTTGGGTTTCGGGTCTAGGGTTTAGGGTTTGGGGTTTAGGGTTAATTAAAGGCCATATTCAGGCCACCTTACGTATGGATTATAAACACAAAACCCTAGTAGTATCATAAGGATCCCTATTTGCTGATTAGTACGAAGAGCTCCGTAGCTTCTGACTCCCAAACAAATCCTCTAAGGAAGGGACGTATTAATATAGTGGCCTTAAATTATATGGAACCCACAAATAGTATTAGTTATTATTTAGGTCCCTATGTTATGCGAGAACTCCGCAACTCTCCCAAAAACACTACCCAAACCATGAAACCCAACCCTTTCATCCGGAACTCTGACACACGAAACCCTTAAACGCCCTACACCAGGAAACCCTAAAGACCCCCAACCCATAATCCTAAGGGACACCTAAAAGGAAGCCTTCCGGGAACCCTCAAAGGAACAAGCCCTAAACCCTAAACCCTAAACCCTAAGCCCTAAACCCTAAGCCCTAAACCCTAAGCCCTATAGATTCTGAAGCACTAAACCCTTAAAGGAACCCTCAAAGGAACGCGAACAAAGCCCTAAAACTGCAAAACCTACAACTACCGGCCAGGAGGCAGAGGCTCAATCCAGTGCGGCCGACCATCCTTGTGAGTGTCTTTAGATTCTGGGGTTTAGGGTTTAGGGTTTAAGAGTTTAGGGTTTAGGGTTTAGGGCTTAGGGTTTCGGGTTTAGGGCATAGAGTTTAGGGTTTAGGGTCCATCCTTTTGAGTGTCTTTAGAATCTAGGGTTTAGGGTTTAGGGTTTAGGGTCCATCCTTTTGAGTGTCTTTAGAATCTAGGGTTTAGGGTTAAGGGTCCACCCAGTGTCTTTAGAATCTAGGGCTTAGGGTTTAGGGTTTGTTCCTTTCAGGGTTCCCGGAAGGCTTCCATTAGGGTGTCCCTTAGGATTATGGGTTCCGGGTCTTTAGGGTTTCCTGTAGGGCGTCAGTATCGACCTTCGACAATCCACCGGGTCACTGGGGCAGAAATCTTCACGTCACCAGACAGCCGTTTTAGGGGGTTGGGGTTTAGGGTTTAGGGTTTCGGGTTTAGGGTTTATCAGGTAGTTTTTGGGGCACCCCCTGTCCTGGTACCGGAAGTGCGACAGGACCTGGGCTTCCTCCTGGCTCGGATTCCTTGGAATCTCGCCAGGGGAGGGTTTGAAGACGTCCTTGGAGTAGTTGAGCCATAGCGCAGCCTCCGAGTTGCAGATTTAGGGTAGGGCCCTAAACCCTAAACCCTAAACCCTAAACCCTAAACCCTAAACCCTAAACCTTAAACTGAGGGTTTAGAGGCTTACGGGTCACGCCGGGTGCCATAGAGGTGAGGGGCTTTGGAATGTAGGCCGTCATCCGGGATGTGCGATTCGGAAGATTCGGGACGAAACTTGCACTGGGTTGCATGACCCTAAACCCCAAACCCCATCAACCCTAAACCCTAAGCTGCAGACTAGGGCTTTCTGAGTCGAAGGCTCTGATGGTTTTGGCACGGGCATGGGGGTATGGTCTTGAAGGAAACCCAAATACAAGTCGATTGAGTTAGTTAACTTACAGCTAACACTAGGTTATATATAATGTACACAATCCAAACCTCCAAAGCATTCTAAAAACGTACTCAATTCATCTTTGTGAGACTTGCCGGTATGGGTACCAGGGCTTAGGGTTTAGGGTATAGGGTTTAGGGTCTGATACCACGTCAACCCATGAGATGCCAATCCCCACTCCCAACGAGCATGACTGCCACCGCGAGCCCAAGCCCTGAACCCAGGCCCCAAACCCCAAATTGCTCAAACCCCTCGAACACTCGAAATAATATTATATATAGATATATATATATATATCTCTCTCTCTCTCTCTATCTATCTATCTATCTATCTATCTATCTATCTATCTATCTATCAATCTATACATACATACATACATATGTGCGTATATTTTGTACACACACTATATATATATATATATATATTAAACATTATATGTGTATATTACTATTATGAATATGAGGTAATTTCGATCACAAACCCTGGCCTGCTCCTTCTGCTGCTGCGCGAGCTGGCATATCTGACCCGCACGGGGCTGCGAGAACCACTCCTTCTCCTCAAGGGCAGGAGGATTGCAGGGTTTCGGGGCAGGATTCTGCAACTTGCCCTGTGCTTTCCTACCCTCCCCTAAACCCTAAGCTGCACTCAACCCTAAACTGAACCCTGAACCCCGACTGCGGCCCAAGTACCATGGCACTGGGGACATACTGGAAAGGCTCTCGGGCACCCAAGGCCACCTCCAGGATTGGCGCAGAGGGTTCGGGACTTTGGGGGGTTAGGACTAGGGTTCAGGCTTTAGGGTTTAGGAGTTTGAGAGTTTAGGGGTCTAGGGAATTAGTGGCTTTAAGGCTTCGGGCTTGGGGCTCTTAGAACTTTCGGCTTAGGAGCTTGTGGAGCCGGCCAAGGGAGTTTGGAGGTTCAGAAGTGGTATGCACTGTGTTCCTCTTCCGTTAACCAAAAGTTCCTTGCAGGCGAGGCTAATCTTAAGTATGGAGGCGCATGAATCAGGGAGAGTCTGAATGACAGAAGGACCTAGTTGGCTCTTGTTATTGAACTTAGTGAAGGCAAGCTACCATCCTAAAGAAAGCCGGCTTAGGGATTTGGGCTTTTATGGTCTACATGACACCCCCCTGGTGTGTCCAACACTCGGACCCTTAACGGTACATCCGTAAAGCCATGAAGATCTGCAAACCCCTATGTAACCTTTATCAACAAACCCTCGTGCAACCCATACACACCCTCAAGAGCGCTAAACCGTTCGAGCTGCTGATATAGGAGCCTGAAAAATTGGTGCGACGACGTTTCCCCTTAGGCTTTGGATACAACCATCATATATGTATGTATATATATATATATAGTAGCCCGAAAGTCCTGATTCTTCTAGATACTCAGTGGAATCTAACCCAAAACCCGATCCTACTGATCAAGGCCCGCCATGTACGGGAAAGCCCGCCTGCTGTCCGAGAACAGGCACGCAGGGATCCTTTCCGCGCAGCGACCAGGCGGGAGCAGCCTAGTTTAGAGTGTGGGGATTGAGTTTAGGGTTTTGGGTTTCGGGCGCAAGGGTTTAGGGTTTAGCGTTT